TCTCCGTGACTTCATTAACATATCCTCTGACGATTTTAAATGTCTGTGGGGGGCAAGGAACAGTTGACAGTTTCCTTTTCCTCTCTCCTTATGTACACGAAAGAGACAGTAGTGACGACGTTTTCGAAATTGTCGTTTTGGTATTGAATGTTGGTGGCAAGAAAACCGCGGACGTTTCGACCAACACCCTAGACCAAAATATGTCCTTCGATCAAGTACATTGCTCAATAAATTGTGCTAATGACCACCACAAATAATGGCGTTTTTGAGGCCTTCCAACCAGAAGAGTGATTAATAACAATTAATTTAAAATTCCGTGCTTCCCGGCCAATGCAAAATAACCCCGCTTGAACGATCATTAGATTAGTGCGTCATTTTATAATTGACGTTAAGACCCTCTAGTTCAGTTTGCGGTACAGTCTTCGACCCACGTTTTCGCAGCCGGCCGGACTAGCAATGGAAGACAAAGTAAGGTATTTTTTGTTGTTAGAGGACATACTTTTATTTAATGATACGTTTATGACTTATATATTGCTCTAACCTCTGATATTGCGGATATTCCTCGACGAATAAGCAGCCATTCAGATATTAACCCTTGATGTTCGACGAAGAGAGGGAAAGCACAATTCACGAAACCAAAAATAAGGTGATCGCAAACCGAATTCCAATGGAATAAGCTGTTGAACTAAGGACAATTTATTAGACTTTTTCCTCAGACTTAACAGTTAGAACTGTGTGATTTGAATCGAGATTGGCTGCTACAGTACAAGATCGATTCCACAACCTGCGTTCTTTTCTCTTCACCTCAGTTTTAGAGCTTTGTACAGCAATTCTAGAATGCATGTCACCAGGCTGAACGTCGCTCTTGCGCTTACTAACTTCATAAAGTTTGAAAACATCGCGCGATTACCTCTGATTTGAAATTCGAAAACGTCTAGGCAGGCCGGAGCTTAAATTCGTATCTTAACAATCTACTCCAGCCTAGCGGAACTTGATCGGAAAGACGTACTTAGCAATTAATGACTTCATGCTTAACTTATCGCACGCAAAGAATCATGAGCAAGATGGTCATTGGAGCGCGCAAAAATTAAGATTACATGACTCAGCCCCATATATGACGCAGCAATAATTCCGGTACGTTAAGGCTTAAATGGGTCAAGAGTTTTGTCCTGGAAAATGGAGAAAAACCTTAAAGTTTCTAACAGTGCGTAGCGAGTCACGTGACTATTTTTTGGATAGCAAATTTTTTATGCTGCCGTCTTCTCTAAGGGATATAATGGGTACAGAGCTCACTTATTTTCTGCCGCAGAAAAGGGTCGAAAGCCTCGTACTTCTGCTATCAAAATAAAACAGAAACACTCTTCTCTATAGCAGATTAAGTAGTTCTGTCCCATTCTCGTCCCCAGGGCTTCTCAGAAAAGGGAAGGTTTTGGACCTTCACGCTTGGAAGGAACAATGAACAAACGAAAATTAGACATGGAAACAAAGGTCATTTTTCCGTTCAAAATTAGACTGTAATCACGTGGCAATTTACATATTTAGCCAAAAGAAGACCAAAAACCTTCACAGAAAATGTCATAATGCTGTAGGAAGTCAACATGACAAGTAAAAGTTGTCGGCAATCCCTAGAAGCCCATGTCTTGGACTCCTGCTATCTTAGCCTGTAGCGCTCTTTCTTTCGATCGACCATAAGTTTGGATCACATGTCTTACTCATGAACGGCCAAATTAAAACAAACAATTAAAAACTGAATTCATTAGTGATGTTCTCGGAAGTCTAAAGGAGACTTAAACTGAAACCCACCAAGAGTTAATGCTTCAGAAACAACTTCTAGGGAACTGATGTCTTGTCTTGTAAGTTGGCAAAATTTGCCTGTTTTTATGTGTGTTTTTTTATGTGCTCGGCCAGGCTACAGGTAATGCACGATGCTGTTTATACGTGGCTATACTCTTTACATTGTGTTATTTGCTCTTAAGTAGATTGAGGAGGCTAAGGTTTGATGCAACATTTTAATTTTGCTCAGAAGCCTTTTTTGCCGAAGAAATCTAGGTCCTGCATGTTATGTGGCTGACGAGCTACAAACAGTTGCAAAAAGGCTTGAGAGACTGTAACTTTTTAATCCAAAAATGGTTTTTATGGGACTTCCTGCTTCCTCATTTCATGATCAAAGTTGTAAGGATTCAACAACTGCACTGAGTGAAAACTATCATCGGAAGGATATGGGAGGGTGGGGATTTCTTTTACTGGTAAGAATTCTTTAGTGTCCTCAGAGCCACACCGAAGTAAGAGAGCCGGACTTTTTGCCAAAAGAGTTGCAAAAGTGTCAAAAATATTTTACAACTGGTTGTATTATAGGATATCTCTCCTTTCATTGATTGTACTCAGAGTCAAAATGTAGGCCCCGGCTGCGCTCTTTTCTTTGATTATAACGTCAACATAAGCACAAGTTTGAATACGAGCTGTCGCGACAAAGGTAGCTGTGGTTTCGTTTCCTTATGAGTAGTTTAATTTCTTATTCTAATATTACTGGCACTTTTCAAAGAGATGACTGCGTGGGGTCTTTCCGGTAGCAAGCTTATTTTTTTTCACTGATTGAAACATTTATAAACCTGAATCCTGCCCAGTTCCCATATTAGTAGAAGGCCAGTTGATGACGATCAAATGAAACTAGGATTATATTTAGGAGGTGAGATATGAGAAGGCGCGCCAAGTTTTGACAATGTGTGAGATGGGATGGTTGAGCCGAGCTGTCGCACTCTTGTCGTTCCGCACAGTTTTTCCTATGGTGTTAAAAGTCTTAAGCTCATTGCCACCGCAGGGATTTCGCTCAGAAGGCGAAATCCCAAGGAGGCACTCTAGTAGCTCGCGCGTATATTAAGGAAGGTACTTACAGTTGAAATATACAGTCGGTATTCTAGAAATTCGACTTGCTTGAACAGGGGCCGCATGGGTAATGATGACGTTTTTATTGTTCGCACCCGCAAGTAAGAGATAGTTAAGAAAATCCCCGAAGGGACGAATTAGGTTGATTTTGTGAAACGTATTGTACAGTCATACTTCGATACTCTCTCATTATGTGGAGTAGCTGTTTTGAAAGTTATGGACCAAAAGACACTCGTTAAGCGCGCAGATGAAGTTATAAGGTGCTTATAACTGTGTATATATAAACACTTGGAGAGTTTCACAAATCTTTGATTGGAAACAATTTGCCAGACACTCAGCTTTTTCTTTCTCTTTGGGTTAGCCTGTTCCAGGCTTTCAGATGGTGGGGAGCGAGTTAAATCGTACGCGGCGAGCGTAATACGCGGAACACGAGGGAAAAAAACGAGGGGAGACCGCGCCCAACTAATTTTTTGCCCACTCCCCACCATCCGAACGCCTGGAACAGGCTACATTATCTTTGGGGGAATAAGACTCAGTCCACAAACGAGCAAGACGAGTGAATCAACGGCTAGCTTATTATTAGCTAAACGATAGACGATTACCGAAATTCGCCGACAATTCAGGGAAATTCTGTGCTGACTTACTCCAAGCTCACAGATGTCCTTCTATGAAGTTTAAAAAAAAGACTAGAACGCGCGAGCGTGAATTCAGTTGTGAGGTTGAGCAAACCTTTGAATTTCTAAAAAATGAAAAATGTATGTAAATGTAAAATGAACTGTATGTAAAATTGAAAGAGAAATAGCGAAAAATTCCAATTTCTAATTAAATCTTTTCTTATGGTTTAGAATGAACTATTCTCGAAACTGAGAATGTTTTGATCAAAGCTATTTAAATCAAACTGAAGCTGTGCATGGAACCTTGCGTTTCCTGTTTTTATCTCACCCGATTGTATGGAATATATGTGTGAAAATCTTCATTATGAATAGGTGTATTTTAAAGAGCTACTCAAAGACCAAGAATACTGTTGACCAACAAGAGCGGGGAAAGCAGCTGCCCGCAGCCCTACCCTACACGTCTGTGTAAAGCCCCCCCTAACACAGGCTAGCCCTGCCCCCGTGAGTCAAGGACGTCTCCAGCCCCACACTTTAACTACAGCAGTATTGGTGATACATAAGGGGCAGAATAAAGGGTTTTGTTTCATCAGGAGCTCATACATTGACTGGTTGCATGCTTAAACAGTATCACCGTTTCTTGGTTCTGACACCTTATACCAATAAAACTCGGAGAAATCGACGGAGATACGGCCGTAAACAAAATGTTCAACTCAGTCTTCCCTGCAGGCATCAAAGCCTAACAAAAAAAAAACATATTGGGCAATGATTGAAATCTTATTTGAGTGGAAAGCGAGATGAAGGCTTGTGGAAGAAGAGAAACTAAGTACTGAGCGGCTGTCGTCCATAGGCGCCAGCAGGAGCCCATATGGGCTCCCGGCGCCAGGATGTGTAGAAAGGTCTCCAGAGGCTGTCAAAGAGTTCGGTGCTAATGAGAAGCAGGAAAACTTGGATTTGACTGAGAGAAATGGCACTCAATAGGGTGGAGTTTGATTTTACAGAAATTTTGGCTACGACAAACGTCCGCTCAATTAAGATTTTTAACAGGGACTAAAGAGAATCCTTAGGGCACAGTTTGTCACGTGACACCGGCTTTAATTGCACCTACACTCTCTGTGAAAACCGGTCTGAGTTAGGAAAAACAGCCTTAAAGAACAGGCCCCTTGGAGCACTGGGGTGGATTTTGGGGAAAAAAGAAACCCCCGGTTCAGTTTTTTTTTTTTTTTAAAAATGAATCTTTTATAAAAAAAATAAAAAACCCTTTTCGGATTTAAAAAAAGCAACCTTTCACCCCCCCCCCCCCCGCCCCGCCAAGTCTTTGTCCCAGGCCATCTAGGATTTTCCCGACACTTTTTTAAAGGTCAAACCAAAGGAGTTACATGCAAACAATGTTCTGTGTTGATAATTTACTATTCATAAAAAAAAAAAGAACAATGAACTGGCCAAATGAAGTAAAGGTTGTCAATCGCTTGCGTGACGAAGTTGCATCATGATTGGTCAAATCCTTGAATGACATTTCCGAGGATTGCAAATGGTGACAACGGCGATGCGCAGCTTGTGCGTTTTGCCTGTAATTATTGTTAATGGCGGAGTTCGAGATCGAAAATAATTGCATGTTTGAAGGACTTATTGAATCGTCACTGGAATATTCTAAAAGACTCTCTTAGGAGACGAATGATATTTTGCGCAGAATGATTTCCCGAGAATATCGGCCCCGAACGGTAAGCTTATGTTTTGTTTATAAGATTTCCAACTGAGTACCGACCACAAATTAAGCTTAAGCTTCATTCTGTCGTTTTATTTTGATCCATCCTCTCTGCACGCGCAACAATCGCTTTTCCCTTCTTAAAACTTACTAAATATTTAGTTAGTCCCTTTCTACCATAAAACAGAATGGTCAAAATCAAAATGACTTGGCTTAAGTTGTTCTCTTTTGAAACCAATGACAGATGTTAATTTCAGCTTTTGTCGTTTTAGGGCTCGAGGATTGGCGGAGACGTGGCAATTGATCCGCATTCGCACGAAGTTTACCGCTCTGAAATAGAGGATTTAGAAATTCAAGGTAATTAAATAGTGCCTTACGACTTTTTAAAGAGCACTCCGACCCTTAGCCAATTTGTCTCAGTATTCTCAGTATTGCTTGATCTTGCAGGATCTGAAAAACTCATTCGCTCGAAGGCCGGTATTTCACAAATTAAAATGCTCCTTGAAACTGAAAAGTAACTTACGATTGGCTCCGATTAGCTCGAATACTCGTTATTGTTTCTCTGCCAGTTCAATAGCGTGATAGGCTTAGCCAGTGAACAAAGGAAAAACAACCGATATTAGCATCTTAAATTTGCCAACATCAGAAGACCAGAAATGACGTCTTCAGGTAGTTTTCAATTGTGTCTTCGAATGCACGACATTGTGATACAGCGAACTCACAGTTGCCAGGTTTAATGGCCAGTGACTTAAAAGCCGTTATAATATTGAAACTTGAAGATAACAAGTTTTCAATAAAATATACGCTTTCTTTCTTGCCCGTTTTTTTCAGCCATTTTCCTGACTTTCTTTCTCGGTTCTTTCCGGTGAAATTTCTTAATTGTAAAGCCGGGTGTAAAGACGTTTCATTGAATCAGAGATTACTCTTCCGAGGGATCATTGCGTGTGACTAAGAACGATATTACCAGCTTTTTTTTTTCACCAAAAGTACATTTGTTTGTCGCCTATTGAAAACATAATATACTTGATCACGAAGATGTGTGACGTTGGATGACTTGGGATGACATCAAAGAGAATCTATATATAAAAACTGTCAAAATTCCTTAACTTAAGTTACTTCCTAATAACATTATACTTGTTAAATTAAATGCTTTTGTGTAACAATTTGTGGACCAATTAAACATATCTGTAAAACTTTTACTGCCCAGTGTTTCTTTGTGAGTTTCCTCAGTTTGAAAGTAATTTTATGACACGAGCAGAAAGCAAAGAGTTCTTTGGAAGGAAGTTTTGATTTATATGACTATATTATTACAACTTACTGTTCTTTATTAGATGGAGGAAAGAAATAATATAATAACAATAATTGACTGTTTTAAGGAAAACAGCGAAATTAAGATTAAAAACTTTTAATCCTAATGAAAAGTTTAGCATTCAATGTTTTCGTTTAGTTCCTAGTAATATCTTGGCATCTCGGGTATATTTTACCATGCATACATGCATGGTTCAGGCTCGTCAGTCTGGTATAAAAGAAAGTACATACAAGAGGGTATATATCTGGAGTCATTATAGAGCCATAATTAAACAACAATATATTTGTTGAAGACAGATGTTACAAAATTTTCATGCCAAGGGCATGGAATGACCTCTTTCAACAACAAAAACTAACAACTAGAGTACGGCGCGTGACTTTGCGCTTGAAAATAAAACTGATCTGGTGATTTTACCGTGAATTCTTTTTGTCACTCATTTGTTCGGCATAATAACGCCTTGTAGTTCACCGAGTGTGTACGGTATATAGCTTGTAAGAATGTTTAAAAGGAAAATGAACTATGACACCTGTTATATGGAAATATAGAGCTAGCATTTGATGCGCACGTGCAACCTGCAATAAAAGCAGTGAAATTAGGCTCAAATTCAGGTAAAAGGTGGTAAATAGAAAAAAAAAATGTCTATGAGCAAAAAGAGTAATGCTCTAGTATATTAATATTCGAATCTTCCGCCTTGAAAGCCGCAAAATCTCAAATTATTTGCAAGCGAAAATTTGGATATAGCTCTTGTTGATGTCGTGCAGTATCAAAGATGTTCGCTCCAGTCTTCCTGAGCTGCCATAAAAGCGCGACATGCACGCAAGCGAGGTTTCAAACAGAATTGGTGTACAGACGATGGAGTTCCCGCAGCCGGTGAATACGCAGAAATTTTCCTTTTGTCAAACAATTTGAATGGACAACTACAACTTTCCTTCTTTTTTCTAGAGCGGTGACGAAATACCAGGACACATTGATAACAGGGCTCTGAGCTCGACTGGATATATCGGGGAACTCGATTATCAACGTACGCGTGAATATTATAGAAAATAGAATTTTCGTTCGTACTTTGCACACGCGATCGTATGAAAGATTTTTTTTATGTGACAGTGCTGAATTGTGAATGGAAGGTTGGTTTGGTTAGCTCATCATTTATTTCTTCTTCCTACTAGATCATCGTCAAGTTTACGTTGGAGTTCACATTCCCCTAAGACCACGAAAACATCATCATCAAAGACATCACCATCACAGGCGTAGACGCAGACCAGCCTATGATGGCTCGTTTACTTCTATCGACGAGAAAGGTTAGAATTTACTGCCCTTGGTTAATGCCACGTAGATGTATTTCTGTCCATATGAACAAAATTGTGTTTGTTTGTGGTGGGCATTTTCATTTTGTTTGTAGTTGAAGTACTAGAAAGGCTGCAACGCGACAGAAATTAAAATAACATTAGAGGGTGTTCTGTATTAGCTTGCGAGTTGTTGATGCTTAGTTGCTTGCTAAGTGTATCGTCTAACTTTCACGATTGACGCCAGAGAAAATAGAAAATTGTTGCTTAGGTTAAATGACTCTTATTTTTCTCAAATTACTTTTTGTTGTTCACGACTCCTGTCACGCGTTCAATCCACAGTCTGTGTATGTCAGCTTACCTACATCAAATTACATAATCCGAAAGCGATAATCTTTATTGTGTACTTCATTGGAAGTAATCGTTTGAAGTTTGGAAGATAGCTGATTTTTAGCTTGTATGTCAAACTTTTCAGACTTGTATTGTAAACTTTTTTTTAAGCTCGGGAAATATAGATCACATGGTTTCCACTGACGACTGTCGAGTGACTATATTCCTTTTCCACTTAAACTTTTCTCAGTCGAGATCTCAATACTGAAAATTACGTCTGCAATTCTTTCTCAATGTTTTCATATCGGCTGTATATGAGCCTCTGTCTTGAGAGATCTAACATCCAAGTATTTTAAAGTACACTTCAGGTGAACGGATACAAAAAATGTGGCTGTATTGAGCTCAAGCTGCTAAGTTGACAAATATTACCCCTGAAAAAAAGAGATGCGTTCCTTTGCACCCGATTACCGTGTTCATACAGATCAAACGCTACCAATGGTACAAGCGACATCTATTCTTTATGTTCATTAAAATTATGCTGATCTCTCAATTAAACTTACACCTCAAAAAGCTAGCAAATATATTTTTAATGAGGAAGGGTACGAATCATGAAATTGACAAAAGCTTGTTTATTTACGGTTGAGTTATTTTTACTGGAAGGCTCTTTACTAGAGGCCTTTTGTTTATTTCTTTATCTAGGAAAGTAAGCTTTGTGTTAAGAACATAATTGTGAATGACTTTTTAATAAGCACCATTAATTTTATATCCACTAGCAAGTTGTTTCTGTTAATTAAGAGTAAAACATTTCAATCAACTCGAGATGTAGAATACTGATTATTTTGTTTCCTCATTGAAATAAAAAAACACCAATTAATTTTCTTCAATTATCAATTAATTTAATGAAGCGCAAATTCCTTTAGTTTTCAACCTCAATAAAATTTTAGAGACTTGTCTTTAGCGCATGAAATTTTAAAAAAAGATTTTGAAACCGGCTAAGAAAAATGAGATGCTAATGAATAAATTTAAGGCCTTACTTTACTGTTCCCTACTTCTTCAAAGTGTTTGATAAACATATTTCTAGTTCAAAACTGTTAGTTTATCAGCCTCTGCAATTTTTAAACCCCTGTAGCTCATTGCTTCATTTATGCCCCAGCTGGTTAAGAGACTGCAAACACATATGTACTGTGAAAGGTTTCCTGAGTCATGTCATAAGCAATTGACAATAATAGAATGCCTGGACAAACCAACAATTTGGCTAACAATAGCGTCCATTATTTCTATGACAAAAGACAGTTTAAAATGCAGCTCTCTCATTTAGACTCCTTATAGCCAGTGATATCTGGTTTATGGCTGACGCTGGATGACCAATACCAACAATTCAAGTTGATTGACTTATCAGGTCAATAACCAGAGTTTATGATAATTTTACATAGTTATTTCAGTCAGCACGCAATTCTGGCCATAGCACTTAAACTGGGCTTGAAAAATAAATCAAAGTTAGGTTTCAGATTTCTAAATGTACTGTCAACTTGATAAAATAGAGATAAATGGTCCCCTAGGGGGAAGAAGTAGTCATGGCAACTCAGTTTAACACTACGCTTGTGAAATAAACAGTGTTTCTTATAGTACAGTGTGTATATGCTATTTCTATGTGAACTTAAGTTCTTACGTGACTTGATGTAAAATATGTCCATTTGTATGTGTTAAGCAATTTTTGAAGTTCATGTTTATGATCAAAATAATGTTACTGTTTTAGGTTTATGCAGAACCATATGGTTTGTTAGTTTGATAATATTCTATAGTCCATAAGTTTTGGGGACCTGCCAAAAAGAGTTGCTAAAAACTTATGTGGTTTGTATTTGCCTAACGTTTTGGTTGAGATACATTTTTATGACAGAAGCCTGATGTCATTTGGCATCCATTGTATCTGAGCTGTTGTTGTGGAAGAATTAAAAGTTTTATATTTTGACCTCAGTTTATGCATTGCCAGGCTTGTTTTATTGGTGAATAAAATCCTTGCGGAATGTCAATGAGATAAATCTTTATAAGAAAACATGTTACAATATTACAATAGAGTGTACATGTTTATCAGTATAGGTATTGTACTTTTAAATAACTAGTCAGGAATGTTTTTCAATTGTCAAATGCCTCTAGTGCAGCTCAGGGGATTTGGTCATTGTACTACTTCAGCTGTGGGTCTGATCATTTTCTGCCCCAATCCTAAGCCTTCAAGTATGTTTGGAAAGGAGAATCAGCTGTATTTTTGCAGATTTGAATATAAGTATATATAAGTAGACTCTAAGAGGTGAGTCAGTAACAGGTTTTCTTTGACTATACTGGAAAAAGTGGATGTATGTTCAAACATGTCAATAATTGAAATAATTTCCTATGAGGAGATTATTTTTGTACCATTTAAAAAACAAGCAGGCACTCATGTATTATCAGGTGTAAAAACTTGAGGCAAAGACGAGAGTTTTTACTCCTGATAATACATGACTGCGCATCTCTCCTATAGATTAACTCATTCTTACACTAATATTTTAGATTTGGGGTTATTTTGGCATAACAAATTGGAGGTAAAGTTTAGCCATGTCTTGATCAGATATAAAGACACTCATTAAACATTAATTTCTCTCTTTTTCATCATAAATTATTATGAGTTTTTTCATAGTTTATAGCAAATCATGGTGTCTTTCAGATAATAGTACATCATCATCACTGCCAACGGACAAGGTACGGTTTATCCTTGGAGGAGAAGAAAATGATGAATCTCATAAAATGTTCACGGAGTTGGCAGCTTTGCAGTGTGACAAGGATGGAAACGAGGAGTGGAGAGAAATGGCACGCTGGTTAAAGTTTGAGGAAGCTGTGGAAGAAGGTGGTGATCGGTGGAGTAAACCTCATGTTGGAACCCTATCGCTCTACAGTTTGTTTGAGCTGAGAAGTTCTCTTTTGCGTGGAACTGTGCTATTGGACATGAATGCTAGTAACTTGACTCAAATTGCTGGTGAGTTGCAAGAAAAATTTGTGATTGTTTTGAGAAGAGAAAAATCTAATGGAGATCCACTTTCAACACACTATTTTATATTCGTTTGTATGCCACATGGTATTTTAAATAACAGACATGTCACTGAGTAGCACTGCACGAAAAATAACAAAAGTTAACAAAAAAATAAAAACAATCCTCAGTTAAGTGTGACTGTACTGTGCAATAGAATTCTTGCAAATTAAGCTTTTTTCAGTCAGTGACACAAGAAATGCAGATAGAAGGTAACATAAGTTCTCCCAACACGAATCAAACCCATGACTTTCAGTGGTTATTACAGTCAACTCTCTCTTAATGGACACCTCTATAAGACAGACACCTTGCTAAGACGGACACCTAGAGTTGGTCCCTGCCTTTCTTTACACACGGACACCTCTCTAAGACAGACACTTAGTGCTGGTTGGAAAGGTGTCTGTGTAATAGAATGTTAACTGTAGTCTGGATTTTCTACCAACTAAACTAGGTTTATCAGTGTTCTCCTTATCAGGTGGTAACTGGTAAAATTTATCGTCTGAAGCAACACTTCTTACCACCTGCAGCCACTTGAAGGTTTACTAAAATAAAACAAGGTTTTTTAAAAAACATGCAAGTAGTGATCCAATCCGATCAAGGAAATGAATGAATATATGGAAGTGTACTGAAGTATTCGCAGCTTTTCTTTTAATGGGCCATGCATTTTGGAAAGAGAGCATTGAAGACAGAGTAAAATTATTGGAATCAAAGGTTTTAAACAAAGGCTCATATGTGTAAAATAGATCTTAAAACGAGGGAATGATGTTTCAGAGAACTTATCTCCTAAATTTCACAGCGAGGTTGTAGCCATGTCCCTCACTCGACTACCCCCCTTCCCCCAGGAAAGTGTGCCTCTGGCACATACTTTTTTTGCCAAAAAGGCCATTAATAGTCCCTTACCTGCTGAGCAAAAATTTAGGGAGAACACTGTTTATGTGACAAACATCCTTCACGCTGCTAGGTCTGGAACCTTAATTGGTGGTGTGTTTGGGATAATGTAAAATTGTTAGACTGTTCACAGTCCCCTATTTTTCCGTGAGATCATTGAGATTTAGCACGTCTTACAATTAATGGCAGTCAGAAATTTCCCTGTTGAAGAGAGCGTGCTTGCTGCTTAATTTGGGAAGATGTTTCAGCCGTGCATGTTGGCCGATTTTATTTTGAAAATCTCCTTTTAACTGTATTATAATCACTGTTTCGAAAGGAGATGTTTGTAAACACGCCAAATTGATGCTAAATATGTCTGGCATGTTTTTCATCGCAAGCAGAGTTTGTTAATTAATGAATAGTAAAAGGTATGAAATTCCTGTCATGCTCCCTGAATGCTAGTCGCAGTGATGTTGGTACAGTCCCTCTATTTTTCTCTCCTCCTTCCAAACTGTCCCCCACCCCCTAAGTAGATTTGACACTCATCTAAGATCACCGCCCTTAATACAAAGTCTTTGATCTCAATGGTCTTATGGAAAAATAGGGGACTGTGAAGAGTCTATAAAATTGTAAATTAATATGATAGTGAAGTCTTAGAGTGGTTTGGATGTAATGTTAAGGTATTTCAGGTGGCTTTGAAAGAAAGAAATGTTAGGAACATTAATTTGACCAGCATAGGATAGTTTTTGATTCTCCTGTATTTGTCATAGATCTTGTGCTTGATGACATGGTGAATAAAATGCATCTGGAACAAGACGCCCGACAGAGGGCGCGAGATATTCTATTAAAGAAGAAACGGCATCAAGGTCAGGGTGCAAGAGAGAAGAAAAAGAGTAAGACTGGCATTAGTAGTTTCCCTTCATTCAGCAAGAAACCTTCATCGGCTGGTTTGGCAGACTTTTTCAAAAGATCGGACTCCTCAAATAAGACATCAGCATTATCCCCAACAACATTAGAAGTAGTAAATGAAACAGATAGAAGAGATGGCGACTTTCCTCAACTACCATCAGCAGTGGATTTGGTTGGGAAGCAAAAGGATAGTGATGCAAAAGAGGATAATGAAGAATGTAACGATGAAGCCTTTGTGGTACAGTGTTCAAAGCTATTTCATAGACTTTTTCTTTATGTCAACACAGGAAAACTGTCATTGTAATAAATATTGTAATTTGTTTACCCACAGTACACTTAAGAGTTGTTAAGAATTTGTTGAAATGTGTCCATGCATTCCAGATCAAATTGGAATTTGGAAACGTTGGTTTTTAAGCAGAGGGGAAAACGGGAGTACTTGCAGAAAAACCGAGAACCAATAATAATCTCAACTCACTTACATGCATGGAGTCCATGCCAGGATTCACACTCGGGCCACATTGGTGGGAGGCGAGTGCTGGCTCTCACCACTGCACCACCTTGGCTCTGCTTGAATTTTTGATAGGAACTCTCTTCTTGTCACCAGTAAAGCCATTTCTTTAAACTCTGAGTAGCTGTTCATTTTCTCGTTGTGTAGTTGCCATTAGTAACAAAACACAGTTGTCAGCTACTAGAACAACCGCCAGTGCACCCCTGTTGAATTTTCCCAGTATGGTCAACTCTCTTTATATCAGACACTGTAGGGATCTGAAGCAAGTGTCCTCATTAGTGAGAGCGGGAGTTTATTTCAGTCAAATGTCTGTAATTTAATTTTGCCTGGGATTTAGCTGCTGTCCGTATTATGATAATATATCGGGGTGTCCTTTATAGCGGGGTGTCTACCAGGTGAGAGTTGAGTTTAATAGCTGAAACTGAGATTTACAAGCAAAACCCCTTAATATCAGCACGCGTCACTATCAACAACAACATATACTTACCATGCAAAAACTGTTAAAGATGTTTTTTACTGGTCACACCAGAAACTTTCATCCGATTCCCCAGTCTTGAAAGTAAGGAATGCTTTGAAATGCTCTTTGTTCAAATTTGACTAAAGGGATTAAGGAAGACCTGCATATTCTCTTTTCAGTTTGATGCCAACTTCATGAAGAAAATACCACCAGGTGCTGAAGCTTCCAACGTTCTTGTTGGAGAACTGGATTTCTTGAAGAAGCCTGTGACTGCGTTTGTCCGTCTGGAGAATGCACATGTTCTTGGTGACCTTACTGAGGTCCCTGTACCCACCCGTTTCATCTTTGTTATGTTGGGTCCACCTGGTACACCTGGGCGTTATCACGAGGTTGGACGTGCCATAGGAACCCTTATGTCTGATGAGGTATTTTCTATTCCAGTGTTTTTTATAAAAAGAAATTTTGTTGCTTTTATAGCTAAAACAGTACCTGTGGATGTTCAATGAACTTTCTTTTTAACTCTCAGTCTCAAAAAGCTATCTTACTATACCTTTCATATTCATAATGAAAAAAAAAGCTTAGTACAATGTACTTCATTATTTGTGTTCCGTTTTTACAACAGGTCTTTCATTCGGTTGCCTACAAAGCACACTGTCGTGAGGATTTGTTAGCTGGAATTGATGAGTTTCTGATGCAGGTAAGTTATGTTGTTCACTTTTGTAAGTGATGGTTTCTCTGCTGTCACCCTTCAGGTATCTGGACAAGTTTGAAATTTTTCTATCTCTGTTGCATTGTCTTAGAGTCCATTTTTATGGGTCCAAACACATTTTTGAACAGACAAACAGACCTGCCGTTTGTTTACATGGGACCTGTGGACCCATAATGGAAATTTTTGAATGGCAACAGTACTGCCATCTGTAACACAATTTGCATGGTTCCATGTAAATGGGTTGCTCAGGTTAAGAATTGGTCGGGACCTGTGTAAATTGGGTCTTAATATAGTGTTAATAAGGTTTTTAATTATTTAAATTTCACAGGTCACAGTATTACCCCCAGGTGAATGGGATCCATCCATTCGTATTGAACCACCAGATGCTGTGCCATGTCAGGACAAGCGTCTTGAGATCGCCAAGACAGGAGGTAATGCAGATGGTCCAGAACATGACCCAGCAGGAGACAGAGAAGAACAGCTGAAGAAAACAGGAAGGTTAGGGACATAGCTATGTGAATAGCGGTGGAATGTTATTAATTTGCTAGTTTCTGTTGTAAAGCTCAGCACACTCATCAGAAACTGCTATGGGTGAAAAAGAGAAGAGCTTAAAATAGTCCTTAATTACAGCGTATTACTGAGAGTCTGGATAATAGCAAATGATAAGAATATTTATTATGTCTTCCTCTCCCATGCTTTATTATTAATCCAACAAATGATTGTCTACAACACTGGCTAAACTTTGTTCGGTGCTTATAATACTTGAACCCTCAAAAAATGAAATCAACTTTTCCACTCCAATGTATGAGTGTTTTTACAAAGGAGATGTATCATTCCTGTCAACTTTACAGTGGATCATAGTTCAGATCTTGTATTTTCTCACTCATGACATGATGAACGTTGCCTGAAATATTACATTTTGCATCAGGTGTAAGTTTTACATGTTTCTTGGAGTTTCTTCCCCAATTGTCACTCTATATCCTGAATGCCATATTCTGCTTTCTTTTTGTATTGTTTTGTTAAGCATAATGTTCATGTGAAAATACTGCACTGACAGTTTACTGGTATGTTTTTCACAGGTTTTGTGGGGGCCTGATTAATGATATCAAGCGGCGTGCTCCATGGTACTGGAGTGATTTCAAGGATGCGCTTAACCCGCAGTGCATTGCTTCTGTCATCTTCATCTATTTTGCATGTCTTACACCGATTATCACATTTGGAGGTTTGATGGGAACAAAGACAGGAAAGAACATGGTAAGGTTAATTGGTCAATCCAACAATCAATCAGTCAATGCAGAAAAGTGTTTTTTTTTAACAGAAAAGTCTTTAACTGCCTCTTTGGCCTCCTGGATTGAAACTATTTTAATTTTCCTTGTCTCTACAAGGGACTCTAAAATAATAATGAAGGAATGAATTGTTCAGTTTTTCCTTTCTTGGAATTTTTGTATTAGTATAACTTTCCAGAAGGTGAGGGTACTCAACAAAGTTTTATACCGGGAGGCTCCGCCCTGAGGTCCAACACCTTTCCCTTTTATATACCATTTTTAATAGAAAAGGTCCCTTTTTTTACATACCTATATAGTTTTAGCAGTTTAGACATTAGCATCCCTTTTTACTGCTGTTAATGCGCTGTCTTAAAATATGAATAAATCACAAATCCAGAACGTTTTTGCAATATTTTCAGGGCCATAAAGTGCGTTGTTAGCCCTTTTGAGCAATTTTACATACCGAAATGACAGATTTCCTTACCCTTTTATATACCTCAACTTGTAAAATCTCTACCCTTTCATATACCTGAAGCCTCAAAAAGGTAACCATCTTGGGTGGAGCCTCCCGGTATAGGCCATTATGGGAGTCTATTTTGAAATACTAATAGCTATTTTACAATTTATTGACTGGCTAACATGTGGCAGTTGCTAATGAAGGTGGACTGAAGGGAAAGGGTATTATTTTCGTCATAGTCATCTTACATCATTTCTCTTCCTGTAGGCTGCTATGGAGCAGATCTTGGCAGGTGGTATCGGTGGAGTGCTCTTCTCACTCTTTGGTGGTCAGCCTCTCATTATCCTTGGTGCCACTGGCCCCATGTTAGTGTTTGAAGAAATTTTGTACACATTCTGTGAAAGCAGTGGTATTGACTACCTGCCATTTCGCTTATGGATTGGAATTTGGACAATGTTATACTGCTTTATCCTTGTTATAACTGATGCCAGTGCATTTGTGAGATACTTCACCCGCTTCACAGAAGAGTCCTTTGCCACTCTAATTGCTCTGATTTTCATTGTTGAAGGATTCAAAAAGCTCTTCCATGTTTTGGATGATCACCCTGTTCAGAAGGGATATATTGACTGGCATAGGTGTCATTGCCTACGGGAAGATGCGCCAATAAGTAATTTTACATATGGAAGCAACGACACTCTCTATCGCGTGGATGTCCCAATGGGAGACTGTGCAAGATTTGGTGGTAAACTTGTGGGTACAGGCTGCAATGACAATGTATTTTTTCTGTCTGTCATTCTCTCAGTGGGGACATTTGCACTGGCAATTTCACTGAAGGGCTTCCGTAACAGTTCTTATTTTCCAACAAGGGTGAGGTTTTCATCTATTCTTTTATTTGAATGTTACAAAAAGAGGAAAGGAAAGGAGAATAAATGAAGTTTTTTTGTCAAAGACTACAAAGACTTAGTATCTTTGACTTGAATAGCCACACTATATTCAGGGCTACAGACAGGTTATACCTGAGAGCTCTCAAACCCAAACTGGAAAAAAAAATTCAAAAAATAAAATTAATTTCACAATAATTCCGTTCTGTAAAATACTGATGAGCTAATACTGTGTCATGCCGTAAGTGTATTAGAGAATTCTTCCACAGATCAAACAGCTACAACTTCTTGAAATGCTTTTAGCATTGCCTTTGAGATAGAAAGTTTAAAGAGTTGAAAACTTGTGTTTCACAACATATCAAGTTAACAGCACCCTCAACTTGGAATGAAAACTTCTTACTTTTATGTTTTAAAGTAAAATTATTATTATTACTTGAGTTTCAAATAGAGAAGTCTTTTAAATTATCTGTGTTAAATAGAGGATGTTACATGCCCGTGCGTGGATATGAATTTTATCTTCGAGTGTTCAACTTGATCTCTCATGAGATATCAAATTGAACACGAGAAGATAAAATTCGTATCCACAAGTGGGCATGTAATATTCTGTGTATTATATAGACACCCATGGCGAGATGCTGTGATGCTCTTTTTCTATTGGCCATGACTGAAGTAACCATGACAACCGTGATATCTTCACATGTGAAAGATGAAAATTGTTTCTTTGCTGGATACCAAATTTTCGTCACTGGAAAAATCCTGGTATTTCATCAGTGTCTATATTTTAAAGGAAATCAATAATTTTCAAATGCTTCATTTTTCTACAGGTTAGAGCAGTTATCTCAGACTTTGCTATCCTGATTGCCATAATAATAATGGTGAGCGTGGATCTCGCATTTGGCGTCAACACGCCAAAGCTTGATATCCCATTGAAATTTCAACCAACGGCTGCTGAAAAAAGGGGTTGGGTTGTACCTCCGCTGGGTAAAAATCCTGTATGGACCATTCCCGCTGCAGCTATTCCAGCCCTTCTGGCAACAATCCTAGTATTTATGGACCAGCAGATCACTGCTCTGATTGTTAACAGACGAGAGCATAAGCTAAAGGTAAAGTAGCTCAGTAAATTCAGGTTCACTGTTTCATTCTGTGATTTGTGACTATAGATAACCCCTTTCTGCAATAACAGATCTGAGATTTGCCTTGTTTGAATGTTAGGCTTCAGGATTTTATAGCAAATTGGGTGCTAGATTCAGGATTGACATGCGGGGTGCTGAAAATAAAAAACAGGATAACAAGATTTGAAGAACCCTTTTGGGGACACTCGAAGGAGTAACCCTTGGGGAGTACTCTCTTTCCTTGTCCCCTTCCCAAGCCCCTTTGACCCACCCAACTCCTCAATGTTTATGGAATTCAACATGACAGTTAGGCAAGCAGCAACACCCATGCACCCAAGGGAAAGGGCTGCATTGCCGGCTATTGTAGTGGTGCCATTTTTTTTTCTAAACTGTTCCTTTTTTTCCCCACAGAAAGGTGCTGGCTATCATTTAGATCTTTTGCTCGTTGCCATCATAATTGGAATTTGTTCACTGTTGGGTTTACCGTGGGTTGTGGCAGCAACTGTTCTCTCTGTTGGTCATGTACAGAGCTTGTTTGTAGAATCACAATGTACAGCTCCTGGAGAGAAGGTGCAGTTTCTTGGTGTAAGGTATGTCATTTGTTCACTTCCTAGTTTATTTTTCCTTTGCCAAATGGTTACAGAACACTATTATTTGGTGCTTGTCATGTGCACATCTAACACTGCTATTAACAGTGTGTGATCTGTTCTCTAGGGAACAACGTGTCACTGGCTTCTTCATCTTTCTCCTTATTGGTTTGACTGTGTTTCTTGCCCCCTTTTTGAAGGTTTGTATTCTGTGCTATTAACTAATTTAGCACTCTAAGACATATGAACCAAATCCAAGAGGACCCTGATGGGAATGTATTTACATAATTTGACTCAGCTTAAATTTCTGATAAGACTCTAAGGTGTCAAAGGAATTAATTAAAAATAGTCAACTGAATTCAACAGCACATTATGTTGCTTGCATCACCCACAATCATTCTCACTGATTGAACTCTTCTGTGAGAAATTTTCATGTTTGACCAGATATTCTTAGTAATCCTGAGTTACCAAGCACCGGTTTACCTTTTGCAAAATTTTGCGGGGTGAACAGAGTCAGCGTATTATAGGCAATATGAAAATAATGAATCAATTTTTGTTTGTGACATTTTGCTTCTCCTCACTTCTAACCAGTACTGGATTAGTTCAGTTGTTAGAGCGCTTGAATGCAGATTGAGAGGTCATGGGTTCAATTTCTGGGGCTGTACCAGTACTCAGGGTCTTAAAATAACTGAGAAATGAACTGAGAACATACTTCCTTTGCCCTGCAAACGGCTAGACCTTCGCATGGCTCAGATGACCACGTAAAACAACAGTCGGTGTCCTCAATGAATCAGTACTTTTGTGCTAAATGCATTGACACTCAAATAAAGTACATGTTTTACTGACTGGCCTTTTGCTTTTAAAATCTTGCCCATCAAACTATTTAGAATTTGTCCATCTTACCAATAATTATAATAACTTGTGTTTTTTTTTTCAGTATGTTCCTATGCCTGTTCTCTTTGGTCTTTTCTTCTACATGGGATTTTCTGCTCTCAAAGGGTTACAGGTTAGTTTAAAACTCTTGTTGGAAAAAACAGAAATTCTCTTTCATTCTTTAAGAGCCCTAATGACTTGCTTGTCATTCTCATGAAAACTTGAAATCAAGATGTTACAAGTCAGTCAAGTCTCATAGCATACCATGCCAACAGTAATAACAAATTAAAATGAAGACAAAATAGTTTTGATTAAAAGGGCATTATTATTGAAATCAAAGCATACTATTGTATGTACATTTTGCATTTGAAAACAGATAAGGAAACACTTACAAATTCCTTGGTATCCTATTTGGGAATTTCTTTTATTCTTTTTTTTAACATATAGTAACAAAACAGAAACATACCCATCAAACTTAGAGATACAGAATGATTTAAGTATAATGGAGTCATTACTTATAGATTAATATTGACTTTTATTGATGTTTTAACCCTTTCACTGCCAAATGTGGCCAAAGGCAAATTTCGACCAAATTTCCAAATTTCATTTTCTAAAATTTGACAAACAAATAGCATCATGTGTAAGTACAGGCAGAGAGCTTTCATTTGAATGGTCACATCATAGGATTTCGTCCATAAACTCAAAAGTTAGAGTTACCTCACAAAACTCTATGGCAGTGAAAGGGTTAAGCAACCTGAGACATCCTACACACATTGTATTCACAAAGTGGACAATTCAGATACTAACATCTCGTCCATATGAAGTTTGACTTTGTCTTGTTTCCTTGTTTTGTAAACAGTTTTATGAGAGGTTAAAGATCATCTTTATGCCCATCAAGCACCAGCCTGATCTAATGTATCTACGTCAAGTTCCACTCAAAAGAATTCACATCTTCACCTTTATTCAGCTGTTTTGTTTGGCCGTCCTTTGGGCCATTAAGTCTACTGAAGCAGCTCTTATCTTCCCTGTCATGGTTAGTTCATTGTTTTTGTACTATATTACAGTCAAGCCTCTTTAACCATCAAACTCGTGATAGTGACCAGAGAAAAAATTCACAAAAAATCCAATTTCATTGTGTAAAATCCTACTAATCAGAGAGCGTCATGTAAATGTTCTACCAGAAAGGGTTTATTTGAATAGTATCACCGAAGGATTTCAGTCTCAGATTCAAAAAGTTAGAGTGACAAAATTAACTCATTCGCCCTGGAACTGCCCAATAACCGCCCTTGGAGTGCAAGGGAGACAAGAACTCCCTCTCCCCTCAAGTATCTCCCTCGTGCGCCTCGTTCTTTCTTCTAAGTGCCTGCTATGTAGGCTACCCGTGCAGATCCACATCACTTGCATCGCTTGTGATGTCATCAGTTTTCATGGTCAAGAACAACTCTGTTGTCAGGCTAATGCAGGGGGAAGGGATCTTTTGACGATTCAGTGGAGGAGGCCTGAGGAAAAGGCTAAAAAAGACTGTTTGACTTGAAAATTTTGATGAAAATCTTGTTCCACTACCCACCTGTCCTTCCCTCCACCACGAACACAACTAATTCGTAGAAGTGTGTCTCAAATTTCCCTTCAACCTTATTGGCAAATCGGCACTGGCCTTTTCAACAGGCCAATCATGGCTTATGCTCAAATCCTGGTACACAGGAAGGGGCGCAGACCAAGGACTTCAGTGATTTTTTACAGATGGACTTAACCAGAGCTTTAGTTTCGTCTATGGCGCAGGCTAGCTAATCACTGAGGGCTTAGATGTAGTTTTAAGATTTCATTTTGATGAGCCCTTTGATTAAACCCTAGGTGTTGATGTTGGTGGCTGTCCGTAAGGTTATGGAGAAGATTTTCAACCTTCACGAACTGGAAGTGCTGGATGATTTGATGCCAGAGAACATAAAAAAACAAAAAGCCGAGCTGGAAGCATTGAAGAAGAAAGACGATGACTTTGACTATGATGAACATGGGTGTGATGGGGATGATCCAGATGGCAAAATGGTAAAAATTGAATTTACTTGCTTTCTTAATTTTCCCATTTTGCATGCTTTCTTAAGAGTCTCATTGTGACTGTGAAAGGTTGTTTCACTGACAAAATGATTCGATTGAGTTTGAAAGCTAAGCGATGTAACCTAAATTAAGTCAAGGGAAGAAATGTAAACAGAGCTCTTGGTCCCAGAAATAATGCATGTGAGGTTTCTTTGATGGTGTTATCTCTCCCCCACCCTTTGATTTTTCCACTGATAAATCAGTGTGACAGGTGCCTGGTTCCATTGGCGGAGGGGGCTCTTGACTGCTGGAAGGCGCAGGTTTGCCCGCCATGGGGGTGTAACTCTGTCTAGGGGCTGGCTTTGCCAAAAGTGGAAGCCTGTGAACATCCTGGGCACCCACCTCTACTTAGTGACACGGTTGTTAATCGGTTATTGTGATATACATTTGCAGAATGGTACTGATGGCAAGGCATTAAATGGCACCACTCCTCATGAAAAACCCATCAACATCACGGAAGAAATGTGCAAAACATCTCTGTGGAAGACATTTGACAAGGGTGGCTCAGCGAAGAAGTCAGAAAAGAGCAGAAAGGGCAGTAAATCTGGTGACAAGCATAAACACAAGCACAGACATCATCACCGCCACAGAGACAAGCATAACCGGCATAAAAAGGACAGTGAGGGTCAAGAAGAAGAAGAAGACGAAGGCCTGTGGATGCTTGGTAATAAGGACCATGATGATGACGACGGGGGAAGTGACGCAGAATTACAAAGAAAACTTGCAGCCATTGACGAGGATAAAAATGATGTAGTGATCGACATGGACCAGATTCAGGAGTCCTTACTGGAGATGGAAGACATGACGAAGGAAGCTCCTAGTGACCAACAAAATGGCCAAGCCCCTGTTGGAGGTGATGCTGAAGCCCCCTGTTAAGTGCATTTTCGGTGGCTACCTTGGCCCAATCAACAACATATCCATACACAATGCAAGAGACGCCAGTGATTTTGCACCAATTGGCCAAGTCAATCATATCTAGAAAATAATTATAATTGACTGATGTGGAACTTTTTTTACGTTTTAAAATGTAAGTGTAATTCTTCCCAGATATATGACAATATCAGCGGGCCGTTTAACATTAGAGACCATTTTAGTAAAAGGTGACCGGCATTGCTTGTCACGAAAGTAAGAAAGATCTTTTCAACAATAATTTCATCATACCTTATCATAAAAACTGTAAAAATTAATGATGTTGTTGTATTCAATAGGATAAGGGGATCTTAAAAATAATTATTTAAAATTAAGGGTTTCTGTCCTTGATTAATAGTTTAACAAAAAGTAGCATTTTAAATGTTATTTAGTAGATGAAAAAAGTTTTAGTTATTAGTTTGTTTGTTAAGGGTGTATTTAGACATAATTTTTTTTGATAGATGTAGATGTAGGTACTTAGAGAAGCCCTGCGACGTGTTTCGTAATAATAATGTTGGTTGTTGCAAGTTAATTTGAAACAAGCCACGCCTTAATGGCCAAACCTCAGTACTCAAAAGAAAAAAGAAAAAAAAAGAGGAGAAAAATAGAAATAATTTAAGCGTTTCGCAAAATTAGTGCTTTCTGCTGCGTTAAATAAATCTCGGTATTTTTGTATTTTAAGTGGACTTAGTCGAGCCACAAAAGAGGCAGGCCCTCACATAACTGCTTTTAATCTTCACTTCCAACCTCTACATGAATATTATTACTTTAAATTCAGGGTTAGTTATGAAGACTTGAAATGTAGTTTTAACTTTGGACAATAACTTATGGCGCAGCGATTAAAATTAATCCTCTTGTCAGCAGTACTTTATTAGCATGGTACTATTTATTTTTCAGAATTTTATTCCATGAAATGTATTCTTTGTGAATTTTCATTTTCTGGTTTCTTGATAGTTGAAGGTTTAATTTACACGTTGAAAATTTTTCCCCAAACAATGTGAACTGATAAATGTTTAATCAACCAGCTTGGGAACAGATTGGAAATTTCAACTTGGCAGAGGGGCTGGGGTAGGGTATGTTGTCCCCCCCTTCTCCACTAATGCATGTAAGGCTCAGAATCCTCCTCTAATTATTTTTGTCTTGTGGAGAGATTAGATTGTTGTGTTCATATTCATCTCCATTAACGACCTGTTTGAATCACCAGTGAATGTACCAGATTTCTGTGAATGTTTGGAACCAAAAACTCTTAAGAAAACTTTTATATTACTCAAACCAAGGCGTCAGTTTTTTTGTTCGGAAAACTGATTCAATCTCTTGTTTTGGTGGGTATAAGTGAAACATTTTTCAATGATTTTTATAGTTGTGCATTACAACCTGAAGAAGTATGTATTCAAACTTATGCAGCAGGCGAAAGACTCAATAAAATAAAATTTGTCATTTTACTTGTGGATAAGATTTGTATAATATGGAATTGTTTAGATCAGGTAGTCAGGAAATTTAACGTACTGTTTTAATTTCTATGTGCCGGTTTATTCATGGTTGTGTAATGTTTTTTGGTGTTTTGAGTAATAGTACATTCCTTTCTTTCATAAATTTCATGATTCTCGGAGATAACACATGTAAAGTAGTGTAACGTGAAGAAAATAATGTAATACGATGCGTGATGTTTCATTTTGTTAGAATCATGAGAATGCCAATTTATAAAGTAACTGAGTTGTCGAATGATCAATATTTATGCCTAAAACACTGTAAATTAAAGTAACTCACTCATAAGTAAGGTTGGTTTTTGGAAGGCTACGTTTACCAGCCGAGAATGAAATTAATGTTCTTGCATAGCTTTCCCATTTCCGATGATATAAAGTAGAAACTCTTCATTACCCGTAAGTAGGACTTTTTGACAGTACAAACCCCGGGGGAAAAATGACAAGTCGTCAGTAACCGTAACCCAATAAACTAAATTCGACGCTTCTTAATAACTGTGATCCGTTCTTAAAATCCAAACAGTTGTCATTTAATGAAGGTCTTATTAAAGTAAGAAATAAAGTTCACATGAAGGTTGAAAGAACTGTTTATTTTATTAAATTGCAGTTAACTTGAAAAATTGACACAACCTTTAACGGACACCCCGTAGAGATGCTCATTACCTTTCTGTATCCGTTTTTGACTTTCTATGAGACGGACTCATTTGTCGGTCGACCCTTGCGGTACTTCTGCGCGTCATTTCGTCCTTACTGTTTTTCTTTTACAGTATTCCAGATACTTCTCGTATAGTTCAGTTCTGGTAGCATCCGTGGCAGGCCATTTTTTGGTTGTGTCGGTCGTTTATGGTAAGAGATCCGTTCGTGCGAGAGCTGAACTGAGGCCAAAGATGGGGAAGAAGGCAGAATTGACCTCGGTTCAGCCGCGCCCTGGTTTCATTTCATTTCATTTCATTTTTCATTTCTCGTGGAAACCAGCACTGGCGTCGCCAAATGTCGGCTGTTTTCTAAGGCTAGCTTTCGCGCGGCTATTATATCTTTCTTTACGAACTAAAAATGAAAAGCACTTCAAGTAACCGCCCGCATTTCAAGTATTTTTGTTTTAATAATAATAAAACGGGGTAGCAAAAAATGTAACAGCTAGATTGCTGAAACTGAACCCTGGAGTGGTTATTTTTAGAAACCCACTCTTGGATACGCGGGTATATAATTTCATAGTCTATGCCAGTAAGCATTTCAATTTTTAAATAATATTTCTTTTACACGTGACCTCTCTATTTTCAAATTTCAAGACATTATATTCACGAGTCCCCCATAGTTCTTACTTTGATTATTCTTTGGCCGCAAAGGGACCTGGAAGACTAAACACCACCAAGGGAGCGGCTGCAAAGCATCCGCACGTTTCAAAATGGCGGACGCGTGTGATACCTAATTCCAGGTCTGTGTGTTATGTCCAGGAGCACGCGCGGCCCAACTGCTGAAGCTTCAAGCAAATTGTGAGTAATTTTCGATCTTTCTAACCACAAAATAACTAATATACAGCAGTTTTTGCCTTTATTATTTTTGTTTAGTTGGGGAAGTTTTGTTAAAGATAAGCAACTTGTTATGTCTTGCGGAAAACAAAGCAACTTTCGGCTTTCTTTACTTGACAGTAGCCAATTTCACAGTAACAGGTGAAAACAAGGCTGGAGTTGACCTTGTTTTGATACAAAACGTCCTGCTTTATTATTTAAATCATGTTCTTATGCTAACTCGTATTTTCAAGCATAACTTCCATAGGAAAAGGAAGGAGGTCTGTACAAAAACAAGGTCAACGTAAGCCTCACGTTCACTCAAAGGCTAGGATACTAAGCCCACAACTGTAAAATGGTCAATTCGTGTATTTAAGCTTAAGTCAATTTTGCCCCTTTAGAGGGAAAGAGGAGTTGGGCTAGGGGGAGGACAAGAAGTGCCTTGGTGGGGGGGGGAGGGGGTACTCCCTATAATGGCCTATACGGGTAGGCTCCGCCCGAAAGGGGTGCCTTTATTCAGGCTTCAGGTATATGAAAGGGTAGCGATTTTACTCATTGAAGTATATGAAAGGGTAGGGAAATCTGTCATTTCGGTCTGTGAAAGAGCCTAAAGGGCAGAACAGATGAATTTTATGGCTTTATAAAGTCGGGAAAACGTTCTAGTTTAGTGATTTATTCCTATTTAAATGACAATGCATTCGCCAGCAGTTAAAAGGGATTTTGTTGATAGAAGGCATACGAAAGGGGTGCCTTTTTTGTGAAAAATGGAACATTCTCAATTAACTATTTTTTCCATTAATTCCTTGGCAGTTGATTTCATCTCCACTCTTCCTCTTGAATGTGGGGGAGTGGTTTACTGTCAAGTTGCCCGAAAGTCATCATGCCCTAAGATGATTTACAGTTATGTCGCCCAAAATTTCATCATGCTCAACAACATCGTAACATCCCTAGTACATATTTATCGCTTTTTTTTTGCGCCCACCAGGGTTAATCTTCAAACAATGATGAAATCAATAATGTGCATTTGATTTCTTTATTGCAAGCACACTCAGTTAAGGCTTAATTTACATGTCCTCTTTATTGCTTCTCAATCTGGGGATAAGCCCTTTGCAGCTTGACATTCACGTGGTACAAAACTGCCATGCTGGGACACAAAAGTTGCACTCGGGCAAGACCAACAAAAGGCATACATAATTTTAAATGGTAATTTCCTTTGTTTGTCTTATCCCAGTGTGACTTTTGCTTCTCAGCATGGCGGTTTTGTACCACGAGAATGGCAAGCTGCCTATTGGCAAGCTCTCTGGAAAGGGAAGAGCACTTAACTTTACCATTATGGCAAGAGAACTATGTGTTTCAAATAAGCGTTTTTTACTCCGAAATGAGAAGATAAAATAATTCATAACTCTAGTCTTCCATGATCCAGAGAACTTCCACAGACTGAAACCTACACGTTGGTAGAAAAATGTTAGGAAAATATTGTTTGAATATATTATTAAATTTTTCACTATGTAAGAAAGGTATTTTTCTATATTCCTTGGTTATTCTCAATGGTTATTTAACCTTAAATAAGTTATTTGTCAGACAAAATATATACGATTTTTTATCCTACTACGCAGGGCAGATGTATGGAAAACACCTTTTGTTAAGTTACAAGCAATTTCTGTGTTAATTATTGTCAATCAGCATGGTTGAAAATAACGTCACAAACCAGTGCAAACTGGAAAACGAAATCTTTGCTGTACATGAAAACTCACGAAAGGTTGAGTCACGTTGGTTTGGTCTTTGTTTCTTATAGGTTGATTTGTCAGAAATCTTGCTACAAGTTGCCCTTTAAGGCCCAATATCCAGATACAAATTCTCCAAACTGAATTCCTTACATTTGCATGGAGAATTAGTTGAGAGAATTCAATAAAAGACCAAAGCAGTTTTCCTCAGTTAATCATTTGACTATTTCTCATAACCTTATTTATTGATAATC